TTTTCCGAAAATTTCAACAAAATTCTTACTGTGGAAAACAACGACATACTTGTTCTTTCGAATATCAAACAATTCCTCCTTTACTTAAGAATCCGACACTTATATATATCGCGATCGATTTATTCTCTTTTTTAAAAGGTGACGAGGATCTTTTTCGAAAGACGACACGTTCCGTAAAAAACATTAAAAGACAGGGTAACAAATCATATCGCAATATGCTTTTTAAAACGATTAATTACTTAATCGTAATATACATCTAGGAGCCTTGCTGTTTGGCGCGAGTAGGTATATGTACCGTGGACATTTTTCCCGCCGATTCTTCAATTTTCGAAGAGGAAGAGAAAAAGAAACAAAAACAAAAAAAAAAAAAAGAAAACAAGAAAGGAAAACGAGTCATTTTTTTAATTCTACATTTAAGATGGAAACAAGAAAAACGATTTAACATTTTGCACATACACGTGTACATAATCAATCGTCGAACGAAATAGAAAAGATTACGTTTATCTTCTTTTTCTTTTTTTTCGCATTATTCGCGAAAAGATGGCGTGCGATTGATGCGAAGATGAAAGTTTCGTTTTTTTTTTTATTTTTCTTGGTCGTGTTTCCATTACGATTTGTGCATTCATTCACGATATGATCCCCTCGAATCTCTAAGTAAAGAAGAAGAAAAAAAAAAAACTCGACGTAAACTCTTTTTCATGTACTCTGCGTGCCAAGTTGTACTTCGAAGCAACGTCTTTACGAACTCTTAAAATAAAATAAAATAAAAAAAAAAAAAAAAAAAAAAAAAAACGAAACTACCGTTATATTGAGATGCATGTACAATCCGGTATGTCCTTGAATTTAGCAGTAAGGAAACGAATTTCTCGAAACTTTTTACTCGTGGATAAATCAGGTGATGAACCTTTGTGTACATATGTTCTACGTTTACGATAATTACGATATAAAAACGTAACCAGATAGGTGTCGCGCGCGATGGGATGATTCGTCGTAACGAAATTCGTAACGAATAATTTTGAAAAATTTTGAAAAATTGGAGGGAAATTTGTATTTGTTTGAGAGAAAGATCGAATAATTCAACGTGTAATCTTTCTTTTGAATCTTTTATATAAATAGTTCTATATATAGATAAAAATTTATAAAATAACGAATAAAAGAATATCACGTTACGTTTTTATCTTTTATAATTTTCACGCGTCATCTTTCACGAATCATCTCGCGCGAGGACCCTACTCGTATACTCGATTCGAATTTTCCGAAGATGGAAGGCAATGAAGATAAATAATAAAAAGAGAAAAAAAACCATCGAAGTGGTCGCGTATACCTACAGTGCGTGAAAGATTCTTGTGTATATAATATACATAATATAGGCGCGTTATTTATTATTTAATTTAATAAAACGGCCGCGTTCAACGGCGACCAACTCGTTTCGAAATGCTTGATCGAGAGAGAGAGAGAGAGAGAGAGAGAGAGAGAGAG